ACACCGACACTAGGGTCTGAGACAGGACTTTCTGGCGCCACTGCTCTGCCACCAGCACCTGCCACCGAAGGAAGCAGCCGTGGATCACCTCGGCATGAGGTCAAGGCTCAATCTGGCCCCAGCACCGTATTTTCACACTAAGAACACGTGCACTGTAAGGTGTCCGCTAACCGCTGTTAGTGCCAGTGCCTGCTACACACACTGGGTGCACTGCGTGTTATTTACTTGGACGCATTACATGTGGAAATACAGTACACAGGCTGTAAGCCACAGGGCAGCTGACGAGAGGAAACAGAAAACAAAAGTGCTGCAGAGAAGGAGGACGGGCCATTACGAAAGGACCCCTAAACCACGTGGTGCTTCCTTGCCCCACGACTATTTTACGCCTCACACACTTGATAATCATTTATCTCACACAGAACTTTACAGCCAGAAGCCTCTGAGGAACCAGCAGAGGCTACCCACCGTGTCTACCCAGGATCACAGCCGTCGACACACTACCACCCTCGTAGACCGCACAGGGACTCACCTGTGCTGCAGGAAGCCGATGAAGGGGGCAATGCCAGTGCCCGGGCCCACCATGACAAGGGGAACCGAGGGGTCATCTGGTAAATGGAAGGAGTTTGTGGCTCGAGGAGAGATGGAAATCTGGGATAGGAAACCAACCAACATGACACATTTGAGAAGAAACCCAGGCCACCAGGACGTAACCCAGATTAACCAACCAAGACAACACGTTTGAGAGGAAACCAAGGCCACCAGGACATAACCCAGATTTTCTTCACTAAAAATTACAAACTCCCCTTGAAAAATGAGCAAATGAGATGGCAGCATTCAATCTTATTGAAAGCGCACGTCTCTACAGAAAAGTATACAGATGTGCCTTGCAAACTTTCGACAAATCGTGTTCTGAAAAGACAGGTCTGCTGTTTCTGAGGTACAAGGTTGCACTGGTATAAGCCCATGGCTAAGATCTCCTTCCTAGTAGGCAGCCCAAAGTAGACGTGCCTGCAGCGTAGATGTCCACAGTACAGACAGAGACACGCATGAGGGGAACAAGGTTGTGCTCATTTACACACAAGGGCCAACAAAGACTGCACTGTCAGGGTCAGGCAACCGTTGGGATAAAACGCAGGCAACCAGGAGCCACACCGGAGGACTGTATGGTACTTATGTAGAAGCCTCGAACCACCCGGAATGGCCTGTGCCGGTACAAAACCAGAAGAGCATGGGGGCAGTTAACAGCAATCTTCCTGCCTCAGCTTCAAGCGTCTCCTTCAGAATCCTGCACCCAGGACGCTTTCAGGGAATGACTGTCCAGATATGTTTCATGCCCACCTTCACCATAATCGCCAGTACTGAGGACCTCAGGACTAAGAATGGTCTGAGGCTTCTCTGCACTGTGCGCTATGAACGTGTGCATTCTGACAGCCAATTCAAGGAAAAGTGCGATGCCAAGAACATGTTGAGCCCCATGACTCTCCAGTGGAGACCTGAGTCTAATTACCGTTTTCCCACTTGTGACAGAAAGGGTGATGATGGCAGTGTGAGCCTTGTTCACGTCTTGTTCAGTTATCAGTTTTATTGTTGTTGTTAAGTGCCGTGGAGTCACTTCCAACTCAGCGACCCCATGCACAGCAGAACGAAACACCGCCCGAT